TCTTCTTCGACCATACGACTTTCGGGCCTTCTGTCCCTTCGACGTGAGGCAAGAGAGTATATGTTCGATGCAGCTACCTTCTTCCCCCCCCCAATACAACGCACGGTCATTATAGCCGTATTTCAACTAGGATTAATAGCAAACATATTGCTGTTTCGAAGTTTGGCAGCAGAAATGTCGTCCTCTCGAAGTTTTCTTTGGAAAAATAGAGGTTTCGTTGCAGCTTTATCGTGTTCCCATAGTTTGCCAGCAAAAATAAAAATACAGCGTTTGGCCTCAGGGACTCAGGGACAGCGTGCTGGCCTCAGGCACTCAGCGTTGTTGTTTTTTTTTTTTTTTTTTTGGGCATGGGCCGCATGGGCGACGCATCTGGGCGTGCCCACGGCCGCGAAAAAGCCAAAAAAAAAAACAAAAAAAAACAACAAGAAACGTGGCAGAGGCATCTCGGGCGTGGCCGGCCGAGATGCCTCGGCCATGCCGGCAGAAAAAAAAAAAGAAAAAGAGAAAAGCTGAGTGCCTGAGGCCAGAACGCTGAGCCCCTGAGTCCCTGAGGCCAGAGGCCTCAGTAGGGGTCCTTGGTGTGAAACTTGGCAAAACGCTGTATTTTTATTTTTGCTGGCAAACTACGGGAACCCGATAAAGCTGCAACGAAGCATCTATTTTTGCAAAGGAAACTTCGAACGGACGACATTTTTGCTGCCAAACTTCGAAACAGCAATATTTTTGAAATTAACCCTTTAAACTAAAACATACGCCAATACAGCTATAATGACCGTACGTTGTATTCGGGGGAAGAAGGAAGGTAGATGCAGCGAGTTAGCCCATAATATGTGAAAAAAAAAAAAAAGAACATGTGAACTCAGCACTCGAGCAGTCAGCAGGTGCGGCTCCCCACCAATCGATGGAGCAGCCCAACAGCCTAAGCCTCAATGCTGGTGGTGCTCTTACCGCCGCTGGGATAGAGGCCTTGCAAGAGGGCTTGAACGAAAAAAAAAAAAAAAAAAAAAAAAAAAGGTCTCGATAGAAGACTCATTCGTCAACTCAAAACGAAACTTGGTACTCTGAAGAAAGATCTATGACGAGATGAGGCACAGTCAAAGTACTATGTACGGCACCTTGCGGGACTGCATCTGACTGTCCTCCCACGTGGACTAGCAGGGGTGTTTTGTTCTTTTTTTTTTTAATTCGGAACGTTTCCCGATTTATGCACGTCAAGTAATCCGGCTGAAATGTCGTGCTACCTAGATCCCTTACTGCCACATCGGACAGACAACGAGACGAAAATGTGAAGCAAAGCTAATAAGCTATTCATAATATTTTTGTCTTTCTGGAGCAGAGCAGCCTCCATCCCCTCTCCCCCCCTCCCCCCGCTCTCTCTCTCTTTCTTTCTCTCTCTCTCTCTCTCTCTCTCTCTCTCTCTCTCTCTCTCTCTCTCTCTCTCTCTCTCTCTCTCTCTCTCTCTCTNTCTCTCTCTCTCTCTCTCTCTCTCTCTCTCTCTCTCTCTCTCTCTCTCTCTCTCTCTCTCTCTCTCTCTGCATTAGCAAAGTTTGCTAAGCTTTCCGGTGGTCCCTGGAAAGATATTCTTTCCCGGATGTACCCTGGAATTACCAAATATCTGTCCTTTTTGTAGGTACCCGTGCGTGACCTGGATGGTTGTTCAGCACGGATCTTCAGCGAGCACACGAACATAACATTTTGAAATTTTGAGTACCGTTCTGATAAATCAGACGGCGCTATAAGAGCGCCAACAGGGATATGTTTTTTACGTAGGAACCAGGGCGTGATTTGTAGGCGGGTCCGCCTTTTCTGAAAACATTTTTTTTATTTCAAATTTGCGGCGAATCTTTGAACGGTATTTTTTGCGGGAATTTTGGGAATTTTTGGACTTAATTATGGTAGACGTGCAATAGTCGTACCGGTGAAGTGATTCGACCGCTAGCTCGACGTTTTCGGAGCCCCCTTTCAGCGAAGTTTTAGGAGTTTTTTTAAGTGGATCCGGAGACCGGATCGGTAGGACTTATGGATTCAACCAAGCACTGTACGTACTATGTATATCTGTCTCTCCCGTACCTCGCTGCTGTCTTGTATCAGAATTTGTTTGTTTTTATTTTATTTTATTTTCTTTATTTTATTTTATGAAAAGGGCACCAGTATTTGTCTTTTCCGAAAAAACGGGTGCGAAGAGGGTGTGTCATATGCGAGCTCGGAGTTTTTTGGAATTAAACATACGATGGCCCCTTTGCGGATTTTCCAGGAATTTTAAATTCATAAAGATCCGGAGATCCGATCGGTAGGACTTAGGCATATAGGGACGCAGGGTACGTATTTCTGTATCTCCCATAACTTGATGCTGAATAAACGCATTCAAAAAAGAGCTCTGGTTCCTATTCTGAGGTCTGCGCGAGGGACCGGGGAAGGAGGAAGAAGCGAAAGATGGGATGAAGTCGTGATCAGAAGGTACGGCGATAGGGAGATGGTGAAAGGTCGCCCGCAACCACAGGGCCTGAGTACAGGAGAGGGTCTTTTTCTGGAAGCCCCGAACGATCCCTTAACTTTCCGAATGGTTCTTCAGCATTGTATAAAGGAGAAAGAGAAGGCGACAGGAACCAGCCGCGGCCATGAGGAAGGATAGTGAGGAACGTACCTGATTTTTGAAGAACGCAGATGATGGTACCCGTGTATCGGACCAGGATCAGCCGGGTAGAGTTTAGCGGAAGTTAGACAGGAAAGGAAGGGCTTACCGGGTGGGTAGGTAGAACTAGGACGAGTAGGCAGTACTTCTACTTAGCTTCTCCAGTGGATAGGCATCGGTAGCACGCACCTCATGTAGGTAGAACTAGGACGAGTAGGCAGTACTTCTACTTAGCTTCTTCAGTGGATAGGCATCGGTAGCACGTCATGTCGCAAGTATTTAAGGTTGTAAGTTGGTGGGTTCCGCACACTCACATGGACTCGCGCTGATCATTTGTGAAAGCCCCCTGATGAGTTGCCGTTTGCGCCGGCAACGAGACGCGTCGGGGCGACGCATATGGTATTATGGAGATGCTTTTTTAACTAAGTATGAGACATCGTTGAGTGGAACTGGTGTTCTCGTTTTGCGTCTTCTTCTTTCTCGTGAATTCTCTCTCTCTCTCTCTCTCTCTCTCTCTCTCTCTCTCTCTCTCTCTCTCTCTCTCTCTCTCTCTCTNCTCTCTCTCTCTCTCTCTCTCTCTCTCTCTCTCTCTCTCTCTCTCTCTCATGTCTGTCCAAAACAAACTTTTCCCCCCTTCTATACGGGTGAAGGCCTTACCTGCAAGCTGCAAAGCAAAGATAGTAGACCTGTCAAACCAAAAAAAAAAGAATGTGACTCTCCCGACGAATAGATCTGAGCCATTGAGCAGTGCAGACTCACGAGTCACAACCCTGCAAGCTCCTTGTTCGAATATTATCATGAAATGTGTCATCAGCAAACCGTTCCCAGCCACCTATGATGTGTGACTTCAGGGAAGATGTAGGATGGAGCCAGACATTGACCTGAACTATCAAAGAAAACTGCAGTGCTCGAAAGACTGACTGAACTTACAGTGTGTTGTGTGTGCTGTGCTGTGCTGTGCTGTGCTGTGCTGTGTTGTGCTGTGCTGTTTTGTGCTGTGTTCATCATTGCAGCTGATACGTTGATGTCCTAGGAGGAGAGCCCAAGAATATCCTGTCCAACCAGGAGGTGGAAAGAGGCTGCCATCATGATGAGGATATCCTAACTGTGTTGTCCTAGCTGCCTTCATGAGTCATGACCTCGTCCATTTCGCTGAGTTACCACCTTGAAAGGGGCTCAGCCTGCCTGCTGATGTTTGGTGGAACTCCACACTCATGCTTTCCAAGTGCTGCGGCGACGAAGACTGCTGCTCTGTTCTTTCTCTGCTCATCTTTTTTTTTGGCTTCCATGTCCGATCATCTTAGAACTCTTTCATGTGTCCTTCTTCAGCAGGAGAAATTCCTTTCTTCTGAGTTTTGTTACTATCTCGGTTGGATTTTCTCTTGCTGAGGGGAAACTGTCCCTACCATTCTTCTGCAAAGGAGGACTTGAACCAGAACCTCGTGATTTGTGTATCACGAGGCGTATGTGTGTAGTACAGGTTTAGGACTGAGTGAGAGAACATTAGTCTCAGTGTGAATTTAGTAGGAAGCTATGCATCTAGGACTCGACAAATGATCTTGAGGAATATGGCTATCTTTTTTTGTCGTTGAGGACTGAGTGAGAGACTCTGAGAGACTGAGACTAAGCTCATCACAATTATGGTATGTTGGTGTCGGATTGCTTTACAGACTGGCATTTCTGGTGTGACAAAGGGAATCCATTTTAGGTTGGGTGAGCACTGGGGGGTGACTGGGGGGGGAGGACGGGTCTGCTGTTGCCTGTCACGTGACGAGTCTTAGGAAGGTTTTGAAGAAAGTAGAGGGAAAAGCATCTCAAGGTGGAGATGCCCTTGCGGACAAGAATCGAGGTAGGGGAGTAAGAGTGCAGGAGACTTCTTCTCAATGGTGATGACAAAATTTAATAGGAATAAGCAGTGTGGGTTGGAGCTCGCACCAAGATTTCAGGGGTTTGAGGGCGGGATTTGGAAAATAAATCGCGGGGGTTCTCTTAATTGCATTGACGTCCACATGACGAAGCCATGGGTCATGTGGTGTAATTGTAAATATCTTCAAATATGGAACTATGAAAGTGGTGAGAGGGTTGCAGATTTGAGCTCTGAATACTCTAGAATTTGTGGACAATGTGGTGCCTCTTGTTATCTAGCAAGAGCCTACTTTGTTGAGGAAGAGGTCCTTGTTTTGCGGATCACGAAGTGTCTCCTTGTTTGCAGAATCCAGATCTCAAACACTGGTGTTGGTTACCATTTGAATCTCATTTGCCATATGGATGTAACATATAGATATCCTCCGCATAGATATAACGGGGTTGCAGTAGATTCAGTAGGTGTGTCTGCAGTGTTATATTATTGTGATTCCCAATCTCAAAGTGTTACGATGTGGTCATTGGGGAACGCACAAGAAGAAAAAACATTAGAACTCCAAAGGACAATGAACGGGACTGGGGTGATGGATGTGGCACTTACCAAAGCATATTTTGCAATCCTTCAGGAGCATGCAATCGAGGTATGGGCCACTTCCACTGACAACCTTCATTGGAAAATCGAGACTCCCGCAAAGAATTCTGCAATTGAGTTCTGCAGGGGCCCCAACAAGTCTCTTTTGGCCGTGGGTGATAGAAACGGCACTCTTCACGTGTGGGACTACGAGACAAGAACACGTGTGGCCACCTCATTGAAAGGTCATGAAAAGGAAGTCCATGCCATTGCTTGGTTTGATTACATCTTCTCTGCATCAAAGGGTGGTGAGATTGTGGTTTGGGACGAGTCAAGCTATCAACCAATTCAACGCTATTCCTGTGGATTGACATATTCGACAAAACTCGCTCTGGCCCCTTGTGGCGATGTGCTTCCTAGTGCACTGATTGTTGGAGACGGTTCCGGTGTTGTTGTTCTGGACATCAAAAGCCAGACCAGAGCATCAACAATGTCCAAAGCATCCAAAGAAGAGGAGCTGCAAGAAACCGTCAAGAAGCAAGCAAAGAGAATCCAAGAGCTCGAGGAGGAGCTGAAGGAGTCTAGCGTACGGCTGAAAGACGTGGAGTGTGGGTCCAAAAAACATGCCAGTGAGTGTGAGCTGATGAAGGAATCGATAGCAGAGCGCGACAGAAAGAACAACGTGCAGGTGCTGACAATCCAACAGTTGACGACAAAGGTGAGTCATCTAACAGAGCAAGTGCAGCGGTCGGAGCTGAGGACCCAGGGCCTGCAGTCCCGCCTTGAAGAAAAGGTGAGAGAGTGTCAGCTGATGGACCGGTCGAGAGAAAAGCACAAGAGGAGGGAGGGAACACAAGCAGACAGGATCAGACAGTTGGAGAATGAAGTACGAGGACTGAAAGCGCAGAGGGATGTGTCAATTCAAACGTCCGAGAAGTTCAAGCTCAGGATCAAGGAAATGGAGCGGATAAAAGCGGAGATGATTGGACAGCTGGAGAATGAAGTACACAAAATGAAGGAGGAGAGGGACATGTCAATTGAATCATTCGAGATCAGCAAGCTCAGGATCAAGGAACTGGAGCGGACAAAAGCGGAGAGGATAGAACAGCTGGAGAATGAAGTACACAAAATGAGGGAAGAGAGGGACATGTCAATTGAAACATCTGAGAAGTGCAAGCTCAGGATCAAGGAGCTGGGGCAGATGCTGGCAAAAGAGGTTGAAGAGAAGGAAACTTTACAAAGGCTTCTTGAACAGATCGCAGATACTGAGGCTGGCGGTGGGGTTGCTTGTCCACTGCGGGAGTGGACCTTTGAGGAGCTGCAAGCTGCGACACACAACTTTGATGAAAATCATAAGTTGGGACAAGGGGATCACTACGGATGTTTGTACCAAGCCAGGCTTAGCGACATCACGTCTGTCACGGTCCGGAAGCTAAGGGACGACGTCATAATGGAGAACCAGCGCACAGTATTCAAGACAGCAGTGGTCGACAAATTGAGGTCTCTACGGCACCCGCACATGATGACTCTATTGGGAGTCTGCACTGAGAAGCCCTGCCTTGTCTATGAGCACGTGGCCAACGGAAACCTGGAAGACTGGATCTCCGCATCTCCGACTTCAGCAGCACGAGGAAGGCGATCCCTTCCATGGTACTCACGATTGTGCGTTATGGCAGAAGTTGCTCAAGCACTGTGCTTTCTTCACTGCAGTGAACTGGCGACAGATGGCCCAATCATTCACTCCGCTATCAAGCCGGCGAACATTTTTCTGGATATCAACTTCGCTGCTAAGCTCGGTGGGGTCGACCAAGGATTACTCATCCGGGGGGTCCTTGGAGGACAGCAAATGGCCGCCGAAGTGCTATGCCTGTCCCTACGCAACAATTACCAGTACATGGCACCCGAGCTTTTCCAGTCTGAGAGTTTTGATGAGAAGACAGACATCTACGCGCTCGGAATCACTCTCCTGCAGATGCTAACGGGTCACTTCCACAACGCTTTGAGAACGATCAGAGCCCGCGTGGAAAATTTGAATGCCTTTGAGAATGCTCTCGATTCAAGTGCAGGTTGTTGGGACGTGGAGCTGGCTCAAGAGGTTGCACGCTTGGGACTACGTTGCGCGAGTTTGGAAAGGAACGATAGACCGAACATGATGACGGGGGAAGGCAGTATTTTAAAAGTATTGGAGGGGGTTGCTGCTAACGTTCAGCTCACCGACTTGGCAGATAATCGAGGAGAGTACTAGACGACAAGCTACTAGTGCTGCTCTTCGCAAATCTCTTAGTCTGCAGTTGGGGATTGAGAACATTGCAGGCAAGGGGCATATTATTAGATGCATGATACTTGTAGACCCTGACCAGATTCGTATTGCAACCAGTGTATCATATAGAGGGTCACTCTTCAGTTTCTTTTTGAATGTCTCCAGAACCATGGACTGCAGCGCTGTGTACATGAACAGAAGAATGGTGTGTTGGGTCGGGGGGGTGTCACTTGAGCTGAATCAGATGATCTCACAATTACAGATATAGGAACATATTACGGGGAAGCACGGCGGAGAAAAGTCCGAGGGCCGAGGCTAGATGAAATGGGGATGAAACTTTTTTTTTTTTTTTTTTTTTTTTCAGTGCGCATGAAACTTATGAGGGAACTGTGAGCATAGCATTATGAGTGAGCCCCGGGAAAGTTGTTTTTGACCCAATCTGGCCAGCTTTAGTTGGTTTAGCAGAAGAGTCAGGGGAGATGTTGGTGCACCCTCTGCGGTTCTGCTCAAGGTCGCTGGGAAGTCATGTATGGCTCCATGCATGGATCTGAGGTACGATATCTTCGTCATGGATGGCTTCAATGTATGTGCAATTTGAGATTTGTTCCCGCGACAGCAGCATCATGATAGCAAATGTTCAAGATGATGCCCAGGCATACAGTGATGGGATAGCAGACCAGACCAGACCAGACCAGACCAGACCAGACCAGACCAGACCAGACCAGACCAGACCAGACCAGACCAGACCAGACTGACATGATGATACAGTCTGGTCACTGGGGCTGCGTGGGGTACTTAAGTTTAGATTAGTTTGGGGTGAGCAGACAAACAAGAAAGTTTGTGGTGTGCTTTGCAGTGCGGGGTGCCGCTTCGGGGCACAGCAACGACAGCTGCTGACACGTGCAGGCACAACAACAATTCTTTTTTCAGACTGACTGTTTGAAAGTCATACGAAATCTTTTTTTTTTTTTTCAATTTAAATTGAACACCTCTGATCTTGGCACACTGCTTCTACCACAGTCGCTCCTTTTTGTCTTTTTGCTAATATATTGCTGACATTTTCCTCGAGTGTTTTGTGTCCCCTACTTTTGTTGTTCTTTCTGCTGCCGAGCACAAAAGATTCTGTGGGAGGCACCATGACTGTGACTCGTGCTGTGCTTTTGACACAGGTGCAATCTGTTTCCACATGTGGTCCTGGTTCTACAGGACTCCCTGACAAGGGCAAATTCGTCGCGCTCACTATTTTTGTTAAATTAACTAAAATTAATATTCCTCGCTGACGAATGCCATGTAGTATGTACTAGCTTATTTACGCAAATGGCTACATGACGTCCGTTTTCATGCATTTCATGCCGTCCGTTTTCATGCATTTCATGCCGTCCGTTTTCATGCATTTCATGCCGTCCGGTTTCCAGCAAAAAAAAAAAAAAAAAAAAAAAAAAAAAAGATTATGTGGGAGGCATCATGACTGTGGTGCGTGCTGTGCTTCGGACACAGGTGCAATCTGTTACCCTCATGTGGTCCTGGTTCTACAGGTCTGCCTGGAGGTACCTGGTCTCAAGCTAGGTCCATGTACAGCCAGGGGGTCCAGCGTTTTACAAACACCGGACACTCAGGAACAACAAATTTTGACGAGTTTTTGGCCAAAAAACTCGGTTTCAATTTCGTTCAAAAAATAAAAGATGTCCATTTTGACGAAATGGCACTTCAATCTGTTACCTTCACGTGGTCCAGGTTCTACAGGACTTCCCTGACGAGGACAAATTGTTCACGCTTGCTATTTTTTTGCTAAATTAACTAACATTAATATCCCTCATTAACAGATACTATGTAGTACTATGCACTAGCTTATTTATGCAAATAGTGACACAATGCCATGCCGTCTGTTTTCATCCAATTCCGATTGCAAATGGCTCTTCTGTCTCTTTCTGTGAGTGCGCTGCTGGTTTGGCTCTCAGGATATTATGGCTTCCTCCATGCTTCCTACTACACCTAGATGATCCCAACAGAAGAACCTCCGACCTTTTTCAATCATGCCCCGAAGGCACTACATTTACCCTGTCTCTTATACACATCTAGATGTGTATAAGAGACAGTTCTGTGAGTGCGCTGCTGGTTTGGCTCTCAGGATATTATGGCTTCCTCCATGCTTCCTACTACACCTAGATGATCCCAACCTGTCTCTTATACACATCTAGATGTGTATAAGAGACAGATGCAGTATGCTCAAGGATCCTAGGCCTCGTCACCATTTTATGATATGTGACATCGGAGTGCACTATTGACTGACAATCTGTGTCTCATAATTACTTCAATTAATATGTTAACGGTATGTGCTCGGTATCATGCATCCCTGCAAAGCAAGCCTTAGGATGACATGCAGTACTAAGCTGTGACAATCACCAAATTGAAATGAGTCAACGACTGACTGATCCAGTGATCCCTACTCCTCTGTCTCTCCTCGGAGCTTCCATTATGATAATTATTAGATTAGTTGTCCATGAGTGAATCGAGTCCAACATCGTAATAACACAAAAGGCTCATTATGGCTGAGCGTAATGAAAACGAGGACACGGAAAATGCCATGATTTTAGCATTTTGGGTGTCTGTGCCCGACTGAAAATGCTCAGAATGAACAAAAATTGAGAATACTCGTCAAATGCTTGCCATGCTGAGCATGCTGAAAATGAGCATAATAGTGAAAATGCTGAGCATTTTGATTACCATGTCTGACTCAAACTGCTCAAAATGAGATAGCCACCAAAATGCTCTGCTCAAAATGGTCCCTTCAAATGCCACAAGACTCAGAGCACGTTGTGGCATTTTGTGGCATTTGATAAAAAATGCAGTGCACCTTTTCTCCAGCGAACGTTATAACAGTTTCTTTGCAGCCACCGGTTCTTTTTTTTTTTTTTTTTTTTTTTTATTTGGACCATTTCTCGATTTATGTGTGTCATCCTTGCGCAGGGGCCATGCTAATCTTCTCTGTATCGTTCCAATTTTTACGGATGTCCAGAAGGACATTGCCGCCAGCGGTTCTCATAGAATCAATTTATGAATTTTATGCAACACTTCTTTGAAATTCCTACCTTTGGCGTCCTGTTTCTACAAGTCCTGGCCAGTACCCGAACTTTCAGGAGGCGGAGCCCGACGTTGATCAATCTGATCGGCGGCCGTTTTTTTTGTTTTTTTTTTCCTCGCAAAGTGGCACGAACTGGGAACCGGGCCCAGCATCCCATAACGAGTGCATTTCAATTTCGTTCAAAAAATAAAAGATGTCCATTCTGACGAAATGGCAGTTAGAGTTACAAGGGCATCAATCCACTGGCGGAGGAGGAGGAGGAGAAGGAGGAGAGCAGGAGAGCAGAGGAAGAAGACTGGATGAAGAAGAAGAAAAGCAGAAAAAGAAAAAAAAAAGTCGAGCGTGCTGACATGGCAGCCGCGCGACGACGACGAAGATGACGGGGAGGAGGAGGTGGAGGAGAGGAGTAAGAGAAGAACGAGATGGTGAGGAGGAGAAGAAGAAAATGATGAGGAGGAAAAGATGGGGAGGAGGCGAGGACGATGGTGAGGAGAAGAAGAAGTTGATGACGACGTGGGGGGGCTGCTGACTCACCTGTTGGCTATCGACTCTCTCTCTCTCTCTCTCTCTCTCTCTCTCTCTCTCTCTCTCTCTCTCTCTCGACGGGCTGCTGACTGGTTGCTGCGCCTCCTCTGTGCGCTGCTCCAGCTAGGGGGAAAGCGATCGAATTTGAATTTGAAAACCCCTCCCCCCAGCTCCCCACCACATGCCTCCACTGCCCAAGTCGTTCCTGCCCCCCCAACCCCCCTCAAGAGTCCGCCAAGACCCGAAACCCCCCGCCAGGACCTCCGTTGTCGGCGTTTGCGGCCTCCAAATTGGCGTTCTCACGAACGTGTTCACCACCCATTCACGCGAAAGCGCGAACGGGAAGCAGCGTGAACATGTTCGCCGTGCTACGCAACATCTGACAATGTTTCTTGGGCGTTACAACATTGCTATAATGACGACAACAACAAAACGGAAAGAAAAAAGAAAAAAGAAAAAAAGCAACCATGTAATAAACATGAAAAGAGGTGGATACAAAATCTTGAGTACAGTTCAGATTGTCTCCTCTGTGGCAAAGTGTCGGCTTCCCGTTTTATGTTCCCTACCTCGTTGGCAGGGCACTAAAAGTTAAAAAAAAAAAAAAAAAAAAAAAAACACTAACAAAGAATCTGGGTAGATGCATTCCTAATACCACTGATATGAGCGCACCTCTTCATGGCCTAAGACTTAACAATGTGAAAAGGGGTCACTCACTGAGTGCATCTGACCGGGTTCTGTCTAACAATACCACTGCTACAACTCCATTCAGCCAGTATTGTTGGGAGCAATGTCAAGGCATGCTCTCAGTGCTCAGGGTACAATTCAGTGGCCTGAGGGTAAGAAATTCAAATCATGTATTTGGAGCAGATTCGGATGTAGATACGTGACATGAATTAAACTAAACACTCAGCTCCGTAGTCAGATATTTTTCTTTCTTTACAAAGAAAAAAAAATGAGGGGCCACCACCAGTACTTCGGTGCCTCCTTTTTTTTTTTTTTTTTTTTT